TTTTTTTTTTTTTTTTTTTTTGAGATAGAGTTTTGCTCTGTCGCCCAGACTGGAGTGCAGTGGCATGATCTTGGCTCATTGCAACCTCCACCTCCTGGGTACAAGTGATTCTCCTGCCTCAGCCTCCCAAGTAGCTGGGACTACAGGTGCTCACCATCATACCTAGCTAATTTTTATATTTTTAGTAAAGGTGAGGTTTCACCATGTTGGACAGGCTGGCCTCGAACTCCTGACCTCAAATGATCCACCCACCTCGGCCTCCCAAAGTGCTGGGATTATACGCGTGAGCCACCACACCCGACCTAAAGAACTAAATATTGTAGTAGGAAGTTGTATGTAATTACATTTCTATATTACCCATAGCCTTGTGTATATGATCTGATCTTTCTTTGCAGAGCAAAGGCAAAAAACAGGAGACAAAGGACAAGCTAGGGCCAATCTTCAGGCACACAGAAGTAACATGGGGAGTAAAATCTGAAACTACAGGCAGAAGTAGTGGGGCAAAAGTCAAAGCTGTCTGCCATTGATCAACTTGGATAGGTTGATTGAGGCCAAAGTCGTTCTAGAATTCTGCTAGTTAAAATTGAATTTGGGTTTTAAGTTACTTCTTGAATAAACACACAAATAATAAAATTCCTTTTCCCCACCCCAAGGCTTTACTTATTTTTAAAAAACAAATCAAATGTGTATAAGAGTTAAGGAGAAAGAAAAAAAGAGGAATGTTTGTTGCCCCTTATGAATGTCATTCTAAGGATTGGTGAGACGCCACCTTTAAACTCTTCCCAGCCAGGAGGAGGACGTGGCGGGCCAGCTGACAAGCCTGATGAAGCCCTTGAATCTGATCTTCATTCTTAACTTCTATGCTGTCTCCCCAGTCCGGTACAATGCCTGTCGTCACATAGTCTGGCTTCTTTATGTGCTTGAGGAAAAAGGATTGAAAATGAAGATCAGAACCCAGCGCACGACAATGGGATCATTTTTTCAGACACAGCCTCCTGCTTCATGGAGCTCTGCCCTTCCTGCCGGAGCACCGACCTCTGAAGCCAGCACAACAGACCCTCCAGGCTGCCCCCAGTTCCTTCCCCTGCCCTTTTGAACTTAACATTGCCTGTTAGTGCTGCCTCTGGATGGTCTGTTAACCTTACCATGCTTTGAGTCAAACTGGACTGAAGTAGACTTCTGGTCAAAACAAACAGTAGTTTTCTTTTTTTTCTCCTCCCAACCCAGTTAGAAGCGTATCACCATTGATAAAAAATAGCACCAAGTTTCCAATTCACCAAATGGTTAATTAAGAGCACTTTCATCTTAACACAAAAATATAATTTATGTAAAACATAGTTCCCAACACCCTCTCCAAACGAATATATGTAAAAAGGCTGACTGTCATGTTCCCTGAAGCCTATTACACATACACTTTTCTTACATTTTGCAACCATACTTACACTAAGAGGCTAGAATAAAATGAAACAAGTTTTCTTCTTCAAGTACATAAAAATTACCTAGAACATTTCCATTACTTGCCAAGAATAAACAAAAAGCCACCCTAAAACTCAAAACATGCAACCCTGATCACTTTTGTAGGCCGTTCTCCACTATGGGCAGTATTTGGAAAATAAATACCATCTTAGACACAGAACTTCTTTCAGTCCCAAGGTTTTGCACAGCTCTTTACAAACTATTTGTAGTTTATAATGCATTACAAACTATAAGCGTTGTTGGACAGTCCACAGTAGGGCTCCACAGCAGTTTGGGACAGGAAGCTGAGGGAGATAACACTATTCAATTGAAACATCACAGCAGCACTGGAAGGGCTGAGGTTAGGACTCTCCTCTTTGTGAAGCCTCTCACGCAGGAGTTACGGGTCTTCACTTACCCCCTGTTCAGATGGGTTTTCTGATATAAGTGACACTACTGCCTGGTTTGCCGCAGCTGAGCTCTGGAGGAACATCTACTCTCCCACAGCTTCACCACAAATGCCCGCAAACGCTCACCAGGTCTCCCCCAAAGAGCCTGTGTTCTTGTCTCCACGCTGCTCTGTGATCTGGCAAGGTTATAACTTGCAGGCAGAAGGGCTGTTGGGTTGTCATGCTGAAATTGACTGAAATAGCTAAAACAATACAGTTCACCTCACCAGAGATTTCCTTTTCTTTTCTTCTACAGAAAAAAAAAATGTCAATTTTTGTGACTAATACCAAATGCTCACTCTCACTGTGATGGCCAGGCCACGGGATACATCCTGGTGGCCCTTCTGTGTCGTAGGCCTTTGCCTTAAAAGTGGGCCATTTACCTTCAGGAAGTATAATATACTAAATGTGGGCTCACCATAAAAAAATTTATAAAAGGGAGAAAGCAGATGATTTTTTGTGACAAATCTATATTTCTTTAGCTATTCTCCTTCTTCCTAAGGGGCTTGTATGCTCCCTTTATATTGCACTTTGAAAAATGGATAGATTGCCTTTCCACAGAATTGCAATCTCTGAAAAAAAAAAATCAAGACTGCTCTGAGATATATTTTATTTAATTTAGTTTCAAAGACGATTCAAAGACAGTAGCATCAAATAACAAGGAAAGTATAAGAACAGGCTTAAAAAAATCTAGCGTGTTAGTTTCAAGTAATCTCTTTTGAATCATCATAATTTTATAGTCAATTTTTTTTCTCTAAAACAGTTAGAAAACTACATACATATAGTTTTATCTTCGTGTTAGAAATTTAATGTAGAAAATTTCTTGATAGAAATTTTAATTCTACTTTTTTTTTTTTTTTTTTTTAAGACTAGTCAAGTACAGTGGTGAGAAGGGAGGAAAGGGTAGAACAAGGAGTTCGATCTGTAACTGACTGTGAACAATCAATTGAGATAACTCACTACCTTCGGACCAGCCGAAATTTTAATTCTAAATAAGCTAAGCAACTGAAAGTTTAGAGCTTTATTTTAAAAAATTAATGCTATAGAACTGCAGGATATTAAAACTTCTCAAGTCACAGTTTTAGATCACAAGCCTAGTTTGAAAATTAAAACCCAAATGGCTCAGAAATCAAAGGTGCAAAAATATTTGATCGCTTCTGCAGTCAACTTTTATCTTGGCTGGAAAAAGCAGCAGATAATAGGCAATACAGTACCTTAGGAACCGGATGAGCTGAAGAAACTGCAGCCGGCAAAACTATACTGTGTGAAATATCTCTTTGTCTCCGAAAAAAGAAATTTCTTCTTTGTTGACTGCTTGACTGCTTGTGTAAGGAGATATGATTGAGTGGTGAAGAGAAAATCCTATGAGAACCTGTGAGCAGAAATAGACATATTTTAAGTAAAAAACCAACCTAACACAGTGTTCCATTTTAAGATGTTGTGGCGTTGTCTATTAAATAATTATTCTAATACTTTATTGACTGAAAAAGGAAAAGCCCCAAATAGAAAGCAAAGCAGTGATATTCTGAGTTCTAGTATAACAGTAACATGGCGTATTCATTAGCTAATACTATGTTTACATAAATGCATGACAATGGAAAACTCTACTCTAATGGGAAATAAACACATAGAAACATCTGCTGAGCACCAGGTTTGTAAAAAGAACAATTTCTGCTGTGATACCTTATGTGGCAATGTCCAAGACGACCCTAGATTCAGGGCACTGTTTTGATGGCTTTATACTCTGTAAAGCCGTTTTCCTTTCAAGAATCACAGACAAATTGCCAGCTGCACTTTTTGCCCTCCATAGGATTACTACCCTGTGTTAAGTTCACGCGCAGTGAGGCATTATACTGAAATTCATTGTGATGAATGTTCAAGTCAGATAAAGACTAAATAGCAAAAATGTAAGTATAATACTGAAAGAAAATGAATATAGGGTTCAAAGTACTCACAACAGGAATTTAGAAATATCTATCAAAATTTTAAATGCACATATCCTTTGACTCAGCAGTTCATCTCCTAGGACTTTACCCTGCAGATACTATGCAATGATGGATGTATGAAGAGGTGCCCTCATGGCAGCGTTATTTATGGTAGAAAAAAAGTGGAAAACAACTCAAATTTTTCCAAATAGGAAACACCAGTAGGGGACTGATTAAATATATTATGGTATACTTACAGAAAATTCTGGAGCTATTAAAAAGAATAGGCCAAATCAATCTCTATGTGTTGATATGGAAAGAAGTCACAATACACTGTTAGGAAAAAAGTGAATTCTCAACAAATATATATAAAAAGCCCATTAATGTAAAAGGAGCTTATACATTTATACAAGCTTGCACATGCCCATGAAATTTCTGAAAATTGAGATTCATCAACAGTGGCTATTTCTGTGGCATGTGGTTGGGGCTAGAGGTAAGGGGAAGACTTTTTTTTTTTTTTTTGAGACAGGGTCTTGCTCTTTCATTCAGGGTAAAGCACAGTGGTGCTTATGGTTTACTGCAGCCTTGGATTCCCAAGCTCAAGGAATCCTCCCACTTCAGCCTCCTGAGTAGCTGGAACCACAGGCACATGCCACCACGCCTGGCTAATTTTTGTACCCTTTGTAAAGACAGGGTCTTGCTGTGTGGCCCAGGGTGGTTTCAAACTCCTGGGCTCAAGAGATCCTCCTGCCTCAGCCTCCCAAAGTGTTGAGTTTACAGGTGTGAGCTACTGCATCCAGCCAGGAAGACATTTCAATTCATTTTATTTCATTACTTTCATATTTAGAACAATAGTTTTGTTGTTGTTGTTGTTGCTTGGGTTTTTTTTTTTTTTTTTTTTTTGAGATAGAGTCTTGCTCTGTCACCCAGGCTGGCTTGCAATGGCGTGATCTCAGCTCACTGCAACCTCCGCCTCCTGGGTTCAAGTGATTCTCCTGCTCAGACTCCAGAGTAGCTGCAATTACAGGCATGAGCCATCACACCCGGCTCATTTTTTTTTTTGTATCTCTAGTAGATACACGGTTTGACCATGTTGGCCACACTGGCCTCTATCTCCTGACCTCAGGTGATCTGTCCACCTTGGCCTCCCAAAGTGCTGGGATTACAGGTGTGAGCCACCACACCTGGCCAGTCCCCAACAGGTCACAACCACATGGCAGAAAACTACAGCTCAAGGGCCAGATCTGGCCTGCTGCCCGTTTTTATACACTACAAAATCTAAAATGGTTTTTAAACTTATAATGGTTGAAAAAAACTTTTTAATCCAATATTTTGTTATACATTAAATTCCAATCTTGGTGCCCATAAATAAAAGATTTTATTGACTATAGCTACCCTCATTTGCTTACAAATGTCTATGGTGGATTTTGAACTACAGTGGTAGTTGAGTAGTTGTAAACATGTGTTCCACAGAGCCTAAAAAATGGACTCTTTGGCCCTTTACAGGAGACATTTGCTGAATCCTAGTGTAGAGCACTAGTCCTCAGAATGAGATTCACAGACCAGCAGTATAATGTCACATAGAGGAAAGACGCAAGCCTGGGCGCGGTAGCTCACGCCTGTAATCCCAGCACTTTGGGAGGCTGAGGTGGGCGGGTCACTTGAGGTCAGGAGTTTGAGACCAGCGTGGCTGACATAGTGAAACCTCATCTCTATTCAACATGGTTAAATACGAAAATTAGCCAGGCATGGTGGCACGTGCCTGTAATCTCAGCTACTTGGAAGGCTGAGGTAGGAGAATCACTTATACCTAGGAGGTGAAGGTTGCAGTGAGCTGAGATCATGCCACTGCACTCCAGCCTGGGTGACAGAGTGAGACTCCATCTCAAAAAAAAAAAAAAAAGAAGAAAGAAAAGAAAAGAAAAAAGTGCAAATTCATGGGCCCCATATCAATCTACAAACATAGAAACTGGTGATGGGGTTGGGTGATCTGTGCTTTAACCAGCCCTTAGGGTAATCCTGATGCACAAGAGGTTGAGAACTAGTGGCCTAGAGTAACATTTCAGCTGTGAAACTAACGAAAACATGAACTGCAGGTAAGTACTGGCTCCAAAACTCTGGATTTCTAGTTGACTTGGGGAAAGGCACTGATGCAAACAAACCACAATGCTCAGTGATTCAGGGTGATCAGTTTCACTCAATTACGTCCTTCCTTATTGACTATAATACTGTTGAATCTAACTTATACAGATGCTTTGGGTACTATTATACAATTCCAAGCATCAGACAAAATGTCAGTAATATAATTTTTTTAAAAAATAAGTTGCAAAACCCAGGCACAGTGGCACATACCAGTAGTCCCAGCTACTTTGGCGGGCAGCTGATGTGGGATTGCTTAAACCCAGGAGTCTGAGACCAGCTTGGGCAACAAAGCAAGACTTCTGTCTAAAAAAAAAATTGCTTGATATAGGCAGGTACATATTCTGTAAAGCTTTTAAAGTATAATATTTCCCTAATGACAATACCACTAACCGTAGTATTGTCAACTGATATATGAGGGACAGGGTAGTGTCCTAGGAAAAACAGATAGTTGGAAAGCAGAAGCCTGGACCTTGTTTCAGCTCTACCACTCACTAGCTGTGCTCTGCACAAGTTTCTTCATTTCAGTCTCGGGTGAGAATTAATTGAAATAAGAACTGTGAAAGTGCCTTGCATTTAGAAGATAACAGTAAATAACAGTTCTTTCAAGAACACATAAAATCCTGTAATCCCAGTGCTTTGGGATGCGGAGGTGGGAGCATCGTGAGATCCCATCTCTACAAAAAATTGAAGAATTTGCCAGATATGGTGACTTGGGCCTGTAGTCCCAGCTACTCAGGAGGCTGAGGCAGGAGGATTGCTTGAGCGCTGGAGTCTGACATTGCAATGAGCTATGATTGTATCACTGCACTCCAGCCTGGGCGACAGAGTAAGATCCCGTCTCAAAAAAAAAAAAAAAAAAAAAAAAACTACAGAAAAAATAAAATGGGAAAGAAAACATGGGCTCCAGTATAGTTTCTAATACTGAACACTTATGTCTCAATTACTGTACTAGACACTTTACATGTTAGCTCATGAATCTTCACAGGAACTGTATGAGTTGTGAACTATTACTGCTCCATGTCAAAGTTGAAGACACTGAGACACACAAAGGAACATGCAGTAAGTGCCAAAGCTGAGAAGGAAAGCAGACTAAGTTGCCTCTACAAAGTATATTACTTCTCTCACAGGCATGAGAAAAACGGGAGCTAACAGGAAAACCCAGAAAATGTAAAAAGCATCACAAAACTATTGTTACTACTACTATTTTGTTTTCTTTTGTGAGACGGAGTCTCGCTCTGTCGCCCAGGCTGGAGTACAATGGCGTGATCTCGGCTCACTGAAACCTCCGCCTCCCAGGTTCAAGCGATTCTCCTGCCTCAGCCTCCCGAGTATCTGGGACTACAGGTGCAGGCCACTGTACCTGGCTAATTTTTGTATTTTTAGTAGAAACAGGGTTTCATTATGTTGATCAGTTGACCTTGATCTCTTGACCTTGTGATCTGCCCGCCTTGGCCTCCCAAAGTGCTGGGATTACAGGCATGAGCCACCACACCCGGCCTACTACTACTACTATTATTTTTCCAAAAGTGGTGATGGGTTGACCTAATCCATCCACTACCTCAAGCCAAGCTGCCTTTGCCGACCAAACACATGCTTCAGGGAGGTGGGGGGCAGAACTATTCGTTGGAGAGTCTGTGGATATAAAATGGAAAATTTGGAAAGCCTCAGGTGGACTTGATCCATGATTCTACCTCCCTAATTGCGTCGCTAGGCGGGACCACATACAAGACACAAACTCACAAGTATTTCCCTTCTGAGGAAAGTATTATGATTACTATTAATAATAATACTAATATAAATAGTAATAATAACAGTGGTTAAAATTTAATGGACACTTAGATCAAGCTCAGTACTAGGCGCTCTACATACCTTATCTCTTACCAGCTCTGTCATTACGCAGGTAGCTGTTAACATCACTGCTGTATAGATGAGGAACTAAGACTCACACGTCCGCTAATCAATGACCTGGCCCCAAGCTTAATCCCATAAGTCCAAATCCAGGGCCGTGTCTGCCATTCCCTTTGCCTCTCAGCAGTGTGCAAGGGCTCTATGAGTTCTATTAGCTATTGTGCTTTATTATATGATGTATTTCTTCAAGGACTGGATTTCAATGCTACCTTTTCTCTTATCATGAAAAATGTAAACACTTTTCACAAAAATTCTTGTTACCTTTTTTCTTATTATGAAAAATGTAAACACTTTTCACAAAAATTCTTAGAAATGATCTAATTGGGAGGTACTATGGTAGTGAAAATAGCGTAAGCTTTGAGGTCAAACAGATGTGAGTTAT